TTTGAAAGTGTGAGAAAAAAGTAGACGCTTATAGTCTGGAAATTACAGTAAAGTGCAATCATGTGACATCACAAAAATATAGGAAAAAGAAACAAAAAATGTTGGCCAATCATGAGGAATGTACAGGTGATGGACAGATCCACAGAACAGCAACAAGATACAAGTGAGATGTTGGAGATAGGTCAGTGTGTCCATCACATATACATGAATAAATATACAATTATACAATCACTGTACCACACATCAAAACATCACATACATTAAGGAATTACCAAAAGAGTTTAACAGTTTCAGAGGAACATTTAATAATCCAAATTGTCATTTAGTCCCGGATGTTGTGTGGCCTTTAAAATTACAATCAAAAAGGTTTATTTCTGAGACAAAATAAACATATTTTATCATTTTACCTCATGCATGGACTAAAGCTGCATTCCTTTTATTTTAGAGGTGATTTAATGACATTTTTGTTTGGCAAACCTCACTTTTTCATTGCTTAGTCATAATATAAACTTTTACCAGTCTGACCAACTTTTTTTATTATTATTATTTTTTTTTAATAAAGAAATGCAATTAATATTATGCACAATTGAGTTAAGCATTTTGGCCCAGCCCTTCACAATATTTTCTGTTTCTTATGTGGCTCCATGGAAAAAAAAAAAAATATTGCCCACCCCTGCCTTAACTGCAATCATTTGGATGATTTCAGCCCTGAAATTGCCAATCTCTACTGAACTAAAGGTAAAATTTAGCTGTTAACATGAAAACTACCACTTCATGACAGAACAGAGCTTATACTTGCTTTGATACAGCTCAAGATCATCTAAAACCATCAGAAAAGGCTCATTTGTGTGACTTTTTTAGTATTGTTAAGTACCTGCTCAAATGGGTACTGTATCTAGTTTCGATAGTAGTTTTATTAGCGATTATATGTGCGATTTTTGATGCTTTCGACAATCCTGAGAGGCAGGAGTCTAACCCACAACCTGAGAGAGACGACTGACAGTAGCACAGGGAGAATCACACATCAGAATTGTCTCCTGGTTTGAATGGTTTGTGTTGGGGGCTGGGGCTGAATATTGAGCAGAACCACGTGTCCAGTGAGAGACTCCTGTTTAAAATTCACCTCCATTTCGTCCTATATACTGTATTCTCTCGCTCCTTCTCTCATTCTGTTCCCAGATACTGGAAATTGCACTTTTTGTGATATCTTTTAATTGCTTTTTGATTTAATTGGAAAAAGGCAAGCCAGAAGACTACTTTTGATTGGATGTGTTTAATAAAAATGTAAGATTTAAATTTGAACCGTCCTATATTACACAAAATTGACTTTTGTGAGCTTTAATCCATATTAGAATGTTTTTACCTCCTTAAAAGCATACGTAGAGTTGTGTTTTGTTTCATTCATGTTTGAGAAACCCTTTAATAATAGTCTGTCTACAGTTGGGTCTGGTCAAGTGGTAACGGAGGGAAACAAGCAGATTTTTGACATTCAAATGTCTCTTATTCAGAAACTAGAGGGACTATTGAAATAAGTAAAGGATCAGAATGTAGGAAAGAGTTACACTCCAACAGGGTCAAGTTAAACCTGTGATATTCTTTCAAGTTGTTGACAAAAAATGTAAAAACTCATGTCGGTAACGGAGGGAATGAAATATGCAGCACTTTTTGGGCAATAAATCCAAACAGTGATAACTCTTGGTTCTCACTTCCATATCCTTAACAAACTGGTTTGAATATTTGCTTCATATAGTTTTCTACCATATGGTACAAGATTAGGTTGAAAAACCTCTTACTTTTTGAGTAATGAGATTTTTTTATTAAGAAAGGTCATGGTAACGGAGGGAAAAGTAACGGAGGGAAAATTGTACAAACAAGTAGAAGGTGCAGGATTTTACATCATTTGTCGCTTTTTTCTTCCCAATACTTCAATATTACTTCAAAATGAAAGGAAACTATTTCTATAAAATATGTCAATCCTTCCAAGCAAATTTTTATCATTTTAAATAATTTTTTTTTGAAAAATCATGTACCTTCATCAACAGTTCAAAGATGGAATAACACAAGATATGATGAAATACATCCATTTATTGACATGATTTGCAGGTCTTTGAAATTTGGGAAATTATTTTTGTTCCATGTTTCATACATGGTCTGTTTAAAACATATGGAACTTTAGAACCAAAAATGGTACAGAAAAAAGGTCAACAGTTTCATAAACTAGAGTACATATGTATCTGTTCAATACATTTTTTTATATCAGATGCATTAACTTGAATTTTTGGCCTTGATGTTTACTTCTGCTTGACCGGGACCATCTCCAAAGCTCAAAATACTCAGTTCCACCTTGTGATGTCATGAAATGGTCATTTTTAGGTTAACAGATCCTTTTACCTTTTGTTCAGTAGAGAATTTCAGAGCTGAAATCACCCAAATGAGTGAAGGTGTTTCAGGTTTAAAAATACAGTGGAGCACTTCCTGTATTACCACATGACATCACAAGGTGGAACAGTGTGTTTTCTGTTTGAGAGAAGAACTCAGCCTAAATATGCAGAGTTTGTGTGTGTCATGGGTTCGTCCGAAATAAATGTAAAGAAATGATGGCTCAGTCGAAAAAAACTTAGCTTAAAGGTTGTATGGGGGATTTGTTTTTTAAGTTTCAAATTGTCTTTGGAAGTTTAAAATACTATTACAGAGATGCAGCAGCCTTGTAATTATGATGACCAAAAAGAAAAAAAGAATGAAAATCTATCAACTGTGAATGTGTTGAGGCCAGAAAAACATTAGCCAATAGACCAGGAGGCTACCTCATTTTCTATTGGCTGTTAGGTTGTCAATCATACTCCCTACATTTCTAGTGTAACTGACTAGTTCGTAGCAGTTTGTAGAGGTTTTTTCAACCTGTAGCTTCCTCGCGATTCGCACAAAGTTTGTTGCGATGGTGGACGAGAATCCACGACCAGTTCAGCGCAAAAGAAAGTCCGTTTTTAAGGTTGCTGAAAGAAGAAGAGAAAGGGAAAAGGAGCGAAGCCAAACTGAGGTGATTCTTAGTGATTCCTTCCAGCGATTGCACGACTGAAGCAGATGAAGGGTCTAAAAACTGTTGCATCTTTCGCTAAAATATTTCTAGACAGGTCACTTCAACAGTAATTCTGAAAGTGCAGTGGCTGTAAACAAGTGTGATTTCTAGAGTAAGGAGGCAGGAGGAGATGTTTCTGCTGATGGAGCTGTGGAGGAGGAAGGTGGTGTCACGCATGCACAACAATTGAAAAATTACTGTTGCTGTATTTCTTTTCCCTTAAAAAAATCCTCTATAAAACCTTTAAGTGCGTCTTTATTCACACCACAGCTCAATGTGCAGAGTGGAATATTTACAGTGAAAAATGAGGTGGTAGAGTTAAAAAAAAAAAGAAGTATTTACAACAATATTTACAGTAATCACACTTACAGTAGCCAGCACCCACATAGTCAGGCCAAGACACTTCACCCACATTGCCTAGTATGAAAGTGGTGTGAGTGTGAGTGATGGTGGTGGTTGGAGGGGCCGATGGTGCAGATTGGCAGCCTCGCTTCCGTCAGTCTGCCCCAGGGCAGCTGTGGCTACAGTAGTAGCTTACCACCACTGAGTGTGGAGTGACTGAATAATGAACTGTAAAGCGCTTTGCGTATCTTGAAAGGCGCTATATAAATGCTATCAATCAATCGATCAATCAGTCAATCACTATTCGCTATTTAAAGCACAACCAGGAAGTGCCTCGGTTTGGCCCCTGAACCAGAGAATGGTGCGGAGACAGCTGCAGGTAAGAGTGCGCGGGCGTGGACGTCGAGTGTGCACCCTCAAACGCACTAGTCAGGGAAACAGTCCACATATCAGGGAAAACAGGTCCTGCGTAGAGACAATCTATCAGAAAAAAAAAGAAAAAAGAAAAAAACAGGGGGAGGAAGCACGGTCGGGTGATAACAGGGCAACACGGGCGCTTCGTCACTGTTAAACATGAGTGAAATGAAACAAAAGGGGCATGTTTTTGATGGGGAAACATTATAACATAGATCAGAAAATAGAGAAAATAAAGTTGGTGTATGATATGGGTCTTTTAAATCTCATAAACTTGACCCAGATGTGAGGCAAACTTGTTCAAATCAAATATTGCTTTTTCTGATAACAATTATGATGCTCATTTATTCTCAGTTACAAAACTATTATAAATTATAATCTGTTGCTTCGTTTCTCAAGATGATTATTCAATCAGTGGATCAGACACTTCCAGTCATAAATCAGTGCTAGTGCAGCCTGTGCAGCTGAGGGAGGAAATTTTCGAGGTTCTGAGTTTTCACATGAGGCCTGGTTTGTCCGTAAACTAAGAATGAGACAAACTTGTATGTTTCTCTATCTGCAGGTTTGGGTGAGTGTAAGAGTGCAGGCTCCAGATACACAGACAGTTAAACAGAGATTATCTTGAGAACACTTGTTTAAATGTCACATTTCAAGTGTTTTTATAACCGTCTTACTCGCTGCACTCTCTGGGTTGTGACACAGTTCTTATTTGAATTGCTGTTCAGGGAGACACTGTGGCGGTGTTTACACACACACCAACAGTCTGATCATTATCTGATTTGTGGAGTAATCAGATTATTGAAATGTCATGGTAACAGTTACATTTGAGGTGAGTAATCTGATTTCTGCCCGACTGTTCACACCTGTGCAGGTTTTAATAAGGAAAATTATGCAAAAAGGGCAAAACAGATTTCAAAGATGGAATAGAAAATACAGTTTAAAAGAGACATTATAAAATCCATTGCAGTTTCTCTTCCTGATACATACTACACTGTACTCTACAAATAGTATTGATTAACTGATGCATAACACAGGTTTTTTTGATGATCACATTTCTCTTATTCTAGTCATCTTTTCACTGTCCATGTAAAAGTACCCACTGAGTAACCTGATTTATATCACCAAATTGAGCATTGTTTTAAACTGATTGTGTATTTTCTCTCTGCAGACACATGCTGAACGTGACGTGGGAACATAATGACTTCTCCTTTAACTCCAACGGTTACCTGGTGAACCCCGCCATGATCGTGATCACTCTGGACCGAGAGAGACAGTGGGACAAGGTAAAGACAGAAGTATAAGTGTAACACTGCACTGAGCACATTCTACAGGTCTGTTCTATGAGCCAAGGGTAAAACACACTCTGATGTCAGTCTGTCTTTTGGCTGCTGAATGAGGGATGCAAATAGAATTACAAAATGATTCATCCTCATCCAGAATACCCCAGTGGATCCACACCTCGTCTCAGATGACTCACAGCACTCTTTAGGCCAATAGGATTTAATACAGATGAGGACAGCTAAGGCAGGTTTATATTGTTATGGGAACATAGTGAGTTATAGACTCTAGTCACTAATACAAGTGAACAGGCTCAACGCTTGTGAATTTACTTCTTAGGAAGTACAATGGGTAAGTGGCATGTAGTAATAAGGGGAGAAAAAGTTCTGGGAGTGTGTCATAACCACATTAAAGAATCTAAAAAAATATCACAATGGTAAAGTAAAAAACATTTGTGAACATTTGGTGGGACATGGAGGGAAAAACTCCAGAGATTTAAGCTTTTGTGGAAGTTTTTAGGTGGAGTAAAACTGTCTCTCCTCCACAGAGATGGGTTTTTGTGTGGAATGTTACTCTAAATGGCATGTAGCAGTCTGGGGAGGCGTTTTCATGAGACAAGAATAGTGAACTCTCACAGTGCACCTGACAGTTTTTTGACTAAATGAGAAACATTCTAGACTTGAGATCCCAGTAAGGACTACTTTAGGAAACAAGAAGCTTTAATATCACTTACATCACTTTCTATACAACTGATTGAGAAGAAGGACTCTCTAAATAGTTTAAATGGTGTCTCTGGAAGAGCAAAACAGGTCAGTGGTCACCAGTGTTGCTTTAGTTACTTTGAAATAGTAATCTGACTACTGACTTCTGATTACTTCTTTAAAAAGCAACTTAGTTAAGTTATTTGCTGACTACTTGCTTTTAAAAGTAACTCAGTTAGATTACAAGTTACTTTATTAGTTACTTTCAGCAGCGGCTGACCCCCCCCCCCCCCTCTTGAAGGCAGGCAACACTTTGTCGCCAGCACAGAGTGAACAACAAACCTTTATGTTGCCATCCTTAGCTGAAATAAAATCTAAACAATTTTTGTATTTCCAGCTGTAAAATTTGTACCTGTCTCCTTCCACTGTTTACATCTGACTCATGGCAGAGTGGAGATGATGTAACATCACAGGAAACGTGTCACCAGAGATGATTTATATGATCTATGGGGTCACATAACCCACGTCTCCAAAAAATGTAAATAAATAAATAACCTATGCCACCCTGAAATGCGAAAATAGTTACTTTTCTATTACACTGTGCGTTACTTAAATCTGACTACTGGTTTGGAAGTAGCCCAGCGTTAGATGACTCGTTACTGAAAAAAGTAGTCGGACTAAAGTAACGCTTTACTAAGTAGCGTGTTAGTGACATCACTGTTGGTCACTGTGTTGTTTGTGGCCATACCAGTTTGTCAAAGCCTGATGTCATGAGAAGGCCGGGCCTGGTTTGTACTTGGGCGTGAGACCACTGGGAGGAGTCAGGTGCCACAGTGGGACGCCATTGTCAAAATCTGTTGTGGCGTCCTTAGGCATGACACTTCCCCGACATTGCCAAGTATAAAAGAGGACTATGCGTGAGTGTTTTTGGTGGTTGGAGGTGGTGCAGCTGGCAGCCTCACTTCCCCAGAGTGTGGAGTGAATGAATAATGCATCTTTGAGTGTCCAAAAAAGTGTCGTATAAAACTGATCCATTGTTATTATTGTTATTATCAGACAGTAACAGCAGACCTGTGTTTTAGTAAAGGACAGCACTTTTCTCCTGGTGTGTGCAGGTTTGTGCACAGATGTGATCGGAGAACACTGAACTGTGGTGATGTGAGTTTGAGCCTGTAAATGAGCAGAGTTATTCAAAAGTCTGCTCCTCGTCAGACTCAGACTGAACTCTTCAAACTCACATCTGTGGTTGTGGGTGGCGGGGCTCCAGATGTTTCAAACAGACCAGACTTAAAGACAAATGAACCTGAACACCTCCTGCCTTTTGTTTGAAGAGGATGAAAGACAACACTTGTACTACACACATCTGTACTAAGAACGCTGGTACTTTGAATAATATTGCTCAAGTAGAAGTACAAAGCAATGGTCCATATAATAGGGGAAAAAAAAAAAAACATGAACAAAGTAACAATTAAGAACTAAGCCTTCTTAATAAACCATCTTTTCATTATGAGTCTGTGTTCCTGCTTTGTTAAGGTTCATTCAAAGTGTAATTATTCTAACCTGTAACTGGAGAATCGTTTATGAGAAGTTGGAGTCTGATTTATAAATAAATCAGTTAATGTTAAAGGTCCATCAAATGCTGCTTTGTCTGGAATGTTGCACAGTATGGCATTAAACCTTTCTATCTTCACTGAGACCAAACCAAACCAAGTTATGGGTTAGATCTGTGGAGAGGTGAACCCACTCACAATCAGAATGTCTGTTTTTCTCAGTAGTTTTGAGCTATAAAACCATCTGTAATTAAATAAACATGGTAAATGTGCAGAGGCTAAATCCCACTGTAAAACTCGTACTAACCATGTAACTCCAGTTAGGAACTTGAAAAAACAGGTTTAAAAATCCTAATCACTGTCTTCACTTTTTTCAGTTTTCTGTAAAGTGCAATTGAAAGTTCTCTTAAGTCCACTACAGTTTAGTTGACTTTGTAGTCGGTTGATCATTTTTGACTTGGACATTTTATAAGTAGCTTGCATGCTGAAAAAGTGTGGGCACCTCTGATTCAAGTAATTACGAGCATGTAAAAAGTTGAATTGTGTTGGGCAGTATTATCTCATGACGTTATGCAAGATACCTCAAAATGTGTTGTACATGTAAGAATTCATAATACATTTACAAATAAATATACGTTTAACATTTTTGTATTAGGTGGTAGATCTTTCAGACACGATCATTTTAAAAGTAGCTCACATACTGAAAAAGTCTGAGCACCCCTGTTTTAGACAAAAGACATATCAAGAAACAAAAATGTTCAAATCATTTCATACTGTTGACTAGGGATGGGCATGATTAGTCAACTAATCCACAATTGATCATTAAGAATTTTGTTGATCATGTTTATTTTTAATCGACAACCTGAATGTAGGTTGCTGTCCGTAGCGTACCATAAGGAGACAAGGCCGCATGTAACAGCACAAACACTGGAGTTGTAGCCTCACAGTTTGGGCTCTGGCTCCTTGGAGACACTGTTCCACTCAGTGAGTGTGTTTACAGCACATCAGAGTCCCGGGTATGATCAGGTTTTTTGAGTATTCAGGTTTTGTCATGGTGCATGTAAACACAGTATCCTGGTTATTGCAACATAAAGTTGAGTCACATGCTTCCAAAAGACAAACACTTTTCAGCCTTTTCATCACAACAGAAGCTAAAATAAATAAAGTCACCAACATAAATAAAGTGAGTAAAATGACATATGTACACGTAGAATCTACACGAACTGCACACGTCCATCTTCCATCTTCAACACGACACACACAGAACACACTCACCATCATCATCAACGTCTTCTGTCACAGAAAGAACACTCATATTCTATTGAGTCATGTCCTTTAGTCCGACAGAAGCTGAACCACATCAGCGCACAAGGAAAGGAAATGTTGTGTTTTTCAGTTTATGCAAATGAGTCATGTGGTTTTAAGTTTAGTTTCTGTAAAACGTAAACAAATGTGTCAAGCTGCATTAAACACATGATAATGTCAAAAGGGCTGATGTGGCTCTAGAGTGTTTATGATTTATATGTTGTAAAGTTGAGTTTATTTATGCAGATTAGTAATAGTAATAATAATGTTGATAATTTTAATATAAAAATGTTATTGATTCATAAAAAATCAATTGTGTATTCTCCTGACAATTGATTAAGAAAATGTAATCCCTATTTGTTGATAAAGATTTCATCGCCTGTAGACATACTCACTGTGGGAAGAGGAACCAAAACTTTTATACTCAAGTAAGAGTACTGATACTTCAAACTGAATATTACTGAATGTAACTGTACCCACACACACAGTACTTTTCAGATACCATACTTTTACTCCTATTTAAAGGTGTGTAACTTTTTGGTTAGGGGTCCATCACCTGCTTGTTTCTATGGAGATGTCATTGCTCTGCCTGGAATGTTCCACAGTGTGACATTAAACAGCTCTAACGCACATTTATTCAATTACACGTGGCTTTATTTCTCAAAAATACCTAGAAAAACAGACATTCTGACTGAGTGGGGTCGCCTCTCCGCAGATCTGACCTGTAACTTGGTCTGGTTTGGATTCCATGAAGACAGAATGCTACATTTTGCTACACTAAGTCTACAAGTGACAAAAGCTTTATGTCGACAATACTGCAGAAATTGAACAGTTATGATTTTGTTTTTCTCATTTTTGTGTCTGTTTTCGAAAATACCTGAATTTCTGAGCACTGTTTAAAAGTGTTGCCCTCTGAGGTTCAGGGAGATGCCAGCCCACTCACAGTAAGGACACATGTTTTCAGTGCAACAGAAACATCCCAAATTCAAGTTATTTTGGTTTGTTTTTTGGCTAAAAGTCATGTACTAAATCAGGGTTAGGGTTAGTAGAACATGAACAGTACATTGTTTAAGTGTAGTACTAGTCAGAGGTCGTGACTTGGACTCGAGTCAGACTTGAGTCACTAGTTTTAAGACTTGAGACTTGATTTGATGAAATGAACTAAGACGAGGACTCGACTTGGACTTGAAGGTCAGTGACTTGGGACTTGACTTGGGCTTGAGGCCTGTGACCTTAGAAGAACTGATGCTTCTAAAAAAAAATGTATGTTTTTAGAAAATACTTTTCTCTGTACAGTTGATAAATGCAGTTTTTAATTTTACAGGAACAAACTGAAACATGTCCCTCCCACTTCTGTTTGTTACTGTGGAACTGAAGTACTGTGAGATGGTATCATCAAATGTACTACAGTAATATGCAGGACAATACAGTAAATCAGAGGGAACTACA